TATCGGCGCGGACTCCAGGACCACCACGGGGTGAGCAGGCAGCTGTGTTTTGGTAGGGTCTCCTGGGGGGGGCAGTGGGCTGTGTTTTGGTAGGGTCTCCTGGGGGGGCAGTGGGCTGTGTTTTGGTAGGGTCTCCTGGGGGGGCAGTGGGCTGTGTTTTGGTAGGGTCTCCTTGCTATGCTTGTAAGAAGCATGGGGATCTTTTTCAGGGGAAAAGGCAATACACAGTGTTTACTGAGAATACAGTAGAGAAGCAGTTAACACACTTTATAAAGACACACACACCACACCACCCAATGGTGCATAAGTCAGTCTTACTGTCTAGACAAGGCTGAGTGAGGAGTCAGGGCTCCTCTGTGGCTTGGCTTGGCTTGAAGGACTGAACCCAGAGTTTCATGGCAAGACCTTCCCTTCTTATACATGTGAGTTCCTATTGGAGTCTATGGTTGTCTACACTGGTGGCTTCTTGTGCAAGAACATCTTGCCAAGGGTTCTTGTGCAAGAAGTCTTGCACAAGAAAACGTCCACACTGCCATGTGTGAGCTGTGCTTTTGCACAAGAGCGCCCATGGCGGTGTGGATGCTCTCTTGAGCAAGAAAGCTCTGGTGGCCATTTTAGCCATCGGGCTTTCTTGTGCAAGAAATCCCTGGTGAGTGTCCACACTGCCCTCTTGCGCAAGAGCTCCTGTGCAAAGAGGGCTTACACGTGTTAAAAAAGAGCATAGCTCTTGCACAAGGAGCCGTCTCTTCCATGCCATACTGTAAATTTCCTTTCGCAAGAGCAGGCGGGCAGTGTAGACACTCTGCGGATTCTTAGGCAATAACCCGCCAGTGTAGACATAGCCTATGGGTTTTGCTGCAATCACCCATCCTTAAAGGAGGTGTTAATCTTTGACCTTTGATAGTGATTGTCAGGCTTCTCATCGTTCTCTCTCACTCTTGGTGGGGTTTCTACCTGTCTTCAAGGTTGTCCATGCTGCCAATTTAATTCAGTCTCAAGACACAATGCAGGCTTCCTTATTGTCTTCAAAGTTTCCACTTCTTGATCATCTGCGCATCTGTGATGGCTTTCATTCACACGCCTTCTACTCACACCACACAAAGGTGCAGTTTCAGACAAGATCAATAATTACTGAAAGACACAACTTAGTTTGTGATGCAGACAAGGGTTACAACTTAATTTGTAATGCTAACAGGGAGCAAGGCCTTATAGTAACATTATCTACTCATGAGAGACAGAGAGAGAAATAGAAGCAGATAGAACTTATAAGCAAGTCATTATACATCAAATAATCAGGTTTTGACAAATCGGCTTTATCTACTCGCCCATGGGGAGTAGTTTTCAGCCGGTCACCCCGTTCACTGGCGGTTCACGCATGTGCAGTGCTGGTCTCGCACATGCGCAGTGCGGGGCTGGCGAGTGGTTTTTGCTGCAATCGTCGAGCCTGCAAATAATTATACATCATACCTAGTTTTATAATGAGGGCTCGACAAATAATACAGTCTACTTGCCCGTGGCGAATAGATTGTAACCCGGAAGAGCCGGATTCGGGCCGAAAAGTGCAGCTGGTGAGCAGGGCTTGCCACGGTTCGGTGGGCCCTGCTTATAACCGATACTAAAATATACATTTTTGCTACATCCTGAGGGAGGGCAGTGGCTGTGTTTTAGTATGATCCCCCAGGGGAACTTGGGCGGTGGCTGAGTTTTGATAGGGTCTCCTGTGGGGCAGGGCAGACTGTTTACAGGGGCCATGCAAGAGTCCTTTGCAGGCTCTGGATGCTCGCGATGTAAATGGTTATCTGGTTAACCGGTAAGCATCACCCTTAACCTGTGGGGGCTGGAGCAGCTTCCTTCCCACAGCTCCAGCCCCACGGGAGCTGCTTCAGCCCTGTGGGGCCCTCCACGGGTAGGGGCTGCTCCTGCCAGCTGGCCAGAGAACCCCCTGGCCTTTTTGCCTCACAGGTTGCACACTGGCTCCCTGGGAGTGCACCGGTGGCAGAGCCTTCTCCTGGGAAGCTGGACTGGCAGTCCAGGGACGCTGGGTTGCCTATTGCTTCATACTGCAGAGCCTGCAGCATATAATCACTGAGATTTTTAGCAGTTACACGGGTACATTTTAAAAACTTTTTACATTCTTACTGGAGGCTGGTGGTTACGAGGTGTCTAACCGATGGGGCGGTGAGGAAATGACACATCCCTGGCCCAGTGTTATTGTAGGGTTTCCTGAGTGCACTGGGGCCGGATGTGTCGTCTCCGTTGGCACCTGCGTCTCATGGGCAAGTTTGTTATGGTAGAGTGTCAGGGCGGTGGGGCTCTGTAGGGCACTGATCATCTGACTCCACCTTCCACAGCTCCTATGTGGCTAATCGAGTGACGGACAAACTGACGCCCATCCACGATCGGATCTTCTGTTGCCGCTCTGGCTCTGCTGCTGACACGCAGGCCATTGCTGATGCCGTGGCCTATCAGCTGGGCTTTCACAGGTACCTGCCCTGGGCCACATCAGAGCAGGCTCTCCATTCCCTGCCATCTGAGCCAGCCTGTCCCTGTGCAGGGGCTGGGCAGGAGCTGGCACCCCCTAGAAGTCAGTCCCTGGTTCCTCTCTGACTGTGGTTCCCTCCCCCTGCAGCATTGAGCTGGACGAGCCACCCCTGGTGCATACGGCCGCCAGCCTGTTCAAGGAGATGTGTTACCGCTACCGCGAGGACCTCACCGCTGGCATCATCGTTGCTGGCTGGGACAGGCGCAAGGGGGGACAGGTGAGCGGTGTCATCCTAGGGCTCAGCCCAGCAGGTGGAGTTAGGGACATAGCACTTGGGGGCACGCAGAGTCAGGGTATCTCTAACGAGCACTGTGGGACAGGGAGTGGGGCAAGGGATCACTGGGGGCCTCAGAGGTGACTGCAACTTAGCACTGGATGAAGGGTCCCTGGGTAATCTGCCATCTCACCCCACAGGCAGCTGCATCTCAGCTCTGTGCAAGGGGTCTCTGTAGCCAGCTGCCCCGCCCCACAGGTGGCTGCATCTCAGCACTGGGCAAGGAGTCCCTATTAGGGATTTGAAAGTGACTGTGTATATGGTCACATGTGGGGAGCTGTCTTAAAAGCCAGCACCTGGTGCACACCAGGTCATGAGGAGCTGTTCTCCTGCCCCCCCCCCCCCCCATTGAAATTTTCAGCAGTAACTCGTTTAATTAAATGCATTGTAACATCCCTAGTCCCTGTGTACCTGGCTTCTCAGCATCGGGTGAGGAGGTCCTGTGTAACCAGCCACCCTGTCCCAGCCATGATCTCTCCGTCTTTCTGCCCCAAGGTGTTCTCGGTGCCCATGGGTGGGATGATGGTTCGCCAGCCTTTCTCAGTGGGTGGCTCAGGTAGCTCCTACATCTATGGCTTCGTTGATGCCTCCTACAAGCCGGGCATGAACCAGGAGGAGTGTCTGCGCTTCACAGCCAATGGTGAGTAGACCCTCAGCTTCTCACAGCTAGGGATGTGAATGGGTAACTAGTTACCCAGTAAGCATTACATGTTGCCCAGGAGCAGCCCCTGCCTGCCTTAATGTTTAACTGATTAAATAATTAAACGGGATTTTACCCCTCTATCCTGGGCAGCTGGGACCCAGGCATCCAGGATGGCAGTGTGGGTTGTATGTCCATAGAAGGAGGTGTTACCCGCTCAGATTTCTCTATGCCTTCCACACTGTAGGGATACACACCTTTACCCAGTTCCTAGGGCTCAAAGTGCAACCCTGTTAATTTACACACTCACCCGTACCCAATTCCTAAGGCTCAGGGCACATCTTTCTGTGGGTTAGGCAGGATCTTTAGCCACTGAAAGAGCCTCACACAGTAATATCCGTATCCTCTATTTATTGACAATTCCCAAACAAGCAGAATACACATGCTAAGCACACAGTGTCATGCTCACCAATCCTGGTACAGGCAGACTTCCCCTGTTGGCCAGGGAAGGGGAAGATCTCTCTAGATCTTAGCTGCTGCAGTCACAGTCTGGTCTTAGGCTGTGTCTCGGAGGTGATTTTTTTCTTCTAGGTCTTCCCCCTTCTTCTTGGTGTTTCTTGTCTGCTTTTGGTCTTCCAGCCTTTTGCTTCTTTCCTTCTGCTTCTGTTACTTTCTATCTTCTTCTTGGTCTCCTTCTTGGACCTGAGTTTATATAATGAAACCTGAGTCCTGCTTAGCTATACCGTAACCAATTATTTTAGTATAATTTTACTAACCAATCATACCCCACCACCTTAATTGATTTACACCTAGCAAAATTAATTATACAGCAGACAGGAACAGTTAAACCAGACAGATCTCTCAGTCAAACAATAGGAAAGTGTAATGACAATGATCATAGAATGAGGATTCCACAACATTCTCTATTGATAAGTAACACCATTCTGTCTGGCAAGAAACTGTTTAAGTTTTCTTTACCCATCTTGAGATCTGTTTCTTTATCTGGTAACAGTGGAGGAGCTATCAGGACAAAATCCCCTCCTCACAGATTGGTGTGATGCTATTTGAATACAATTTAGATGGAATGTGAGGATGTGACTTGAGGCCTTACAGCTAATGGCTACTGCTCTTCAGTCTGGCTGCAGAAGGTGGATTTGGTTCAGGCCTTCCAACATGGCTACAGAAAAGCCATATTGTTACAGAGGGGTTGGCCCAAGGCATCTATGCTGTGCTTATCCCCCCCCGTATGCTCTCCTCTTCTCCCCTTGCAGCCCTAGCACTGGCCATGGACCGGGATGGCTCGAGTGGGGGGGTGATCCGGCTGGCTGCCATCACAGAACAGGGCGTGGAACGGCAAGTCATCCTGGGAAACCAGCTGCCACGCTTCTCTGCTGCTTGACGGAGGACACCCTACACACCCTGTGCCACTGACTTATTAAACTATGGAACCCATGATGTGCCTCAATGATTCCACAGGATGCCTGGGTTCCCTGCCCAGCTTGGGGGAGGGGAGCCTGTAAGCCAGGACTCCTGGATTCTTTCCTTGTCTGTGGAGGGGAGCGGGGAGGCCTGGACTCGGATTAACCTGGTGCTGATATGCAGCCACTGCGGGGGTTAGAATGTGCCTATTCTCTGCCCTGCAGATCCAGGGGCTGGTCTTCTGCCGGGACTAAGTTGTGCAAAGGGGCCAGGCTGGGGTGGGGGCTGTTTACAACTGGCACCACTCAATCTTGCCCACCAGCCTCAGCCCCTACATGAGACCTGATGGAGCACATCTGGTGCCCTTCAATGCTGATACACAGCCCCTGCTACCCCAGTCATAGGCTCCCCCAGCTGTGCTGCTGACCCTCACTCCTGCCCTACAGCCCTTGCCAGCCTAGGAGTGACACTGGTGGGAGAAGTTTCTAGTTGTTGGGCTGTGGCATAGGGTGGGCATTTGGGGGCCACTCTGGCTCAGAGCCAGTGTCCCCCCAGCCCAGGTTCTGACACCAAAACCTCACCTGGCTCTGAATCTTCTTAATGGAAATGGATGTGGGGGGGGAATTAACACATCCTGCCTCCCACTGCTTACCGCAACCCCCTCCAACCCCATGTCCAACCATAAGGGGCCCTCTTGGGTGAGAGCTCTTTGCAGGGTTGAGAGTTTAGCCCAAAGGGCAGGGGAATCTGGGATGCTGGCTTAGGGCCTTTCTGTGAGTCCTAGTCTTTGTGCTGTCAGCAGGGCTGGTTGGTGCTGGGGGTCCCTGTTTCCATGCCAGCAGCTGGAATCCCTGACCATGAGGTTGCCCCAGTCATCAGCACATGAAGTCGATGGCCATGGGGCTGCCCCAGTCAGCATGTGGATTTTCTGGCCATGGGGAGCTGGAGCCAGGAGACTGGCTGGCACTGTGGGGCTGCCTCAGTCATTAGCACGTGGAGTTGATGGCCGCAGGAGGCTGGGGCCATGGGGCTGCCCTCATCAGCACATGGAGTCAATGGCTGTGATGGCACAGCTCAGCTGGTGGTAGGAGACTCATGCGTTCTGGCTGGGGCATCCAGCTTGCTACAGGTGGAGGGTGTGGAATGGGCTTGGGGGGCAGGTCCCCCCTCTATGGGATGACCAGGGGTTGCTGGAGGACAGGAAAGGGAAAAGGTTGGGTATCTTGGAGCAGGACAGTGGCTTGCTTGCAGGGGAAAGAGGGCATGGGAGTGGGATGCAGGGTGGGGGGGGGGTCTGGGAAGGGGGCTTCTGGAGTAAGGGATGAATGGGTGGGGGGAGGATGAGAGATACTCACCTGTGGGCTGAGGGCCCCTTTGCTATGCCCAGCCCAGCAGAAGCACCGCAGGAGCCTCAACCCCATCTGCCCAGTGGCTTGTGGGGCAGAGCAGGGGCTCTGGCAGGGTCTGTGGTGGGGGTCTTTGCCCCCCAACTCATGGGGGTTGCAGCTGCAACCTCCTTCCCTCAGAACTCTCACAATCTGTGCAGGGGCCCTCAGACCCAGCCCCCCTCCCAGCATCACCCCAATGGCTCCCCTGTGCCCCATCCCTGGGCAGGGAACCTGGCACCTCCATTGCCCTGCCATTCCTTTCCTCTGTCCCCCAAAGCTACTTAATTCCTTACTTCCTACCCCAATCCGGGCCACTCAGTCCCTTGTCCACCCCCCTTACCTGCAGATCTCTGGATGCCTGGGTCCCGCCTAGCCTTCCCTGCTCTCAGCTATGGAGCTGGGTGCAGCTGGCTCTGGGGCGTGTCTGCCAGGCACTGCCTGCTGGCAGCTTCCCAGCCTCCCCAGAGGTACGGGGCTGGACTGGCAGGGGCTGCGGGTTGGGAGTGCGGGGCCCTGGCAGGGCTGGGGGAGCCAGGGGCTGCCGGGAGACGCACCCCAGAGCCGGGCCGGGCCTGACCTCCCAGCCCATGGCTCTGTCCTGATCCCCAGTAGAGTCTGGGGAGCGCTCAGGACAGCAGCAGTATTTGTTATTGTAGGGTCTCCCCGAGCAACGCCCCCACCATCCCACAGGGACCCAGCCTGTGGGGCGGAGTGTGCCCTGCTTGGGATAGGGCGGAGGCTGCTCTGTCCCGGGACTGGCTCCAGCCCCCTCCCCCACTTCCCTTCCCGGGCAGCGCCGCCGCCTCCCGCCCAGCCCGGCGCGCCGCAGGGAATCGGGGCCGGGCGGGGACGCCCCGGGTAAGTGTCCGGGATCCCCGTGCGGGGGAGTCTCTGGAAACTCCCTTCCCCGCCTTGCAGGGGTCTCCGGCCTCCTGAACCCCGCGGTGGGGGGACTGGACCTGCTCTCCGCCCATAACAAGGGCAGGCTCCAGTTGGTTCGTGGGAGGGGTCTCGGTTCTCCCCTGCCCCTTCCAGACAGGGACCCCCCTGCGTGCAGCCACGTTGGAGGTGGCGGGGGGAGCTCTGACGGGCCGGCGCCCACCCCCCCTCCCCC